GAAATCCAAAGATAACTGAGACATAGTATGGTGATTATAAGCTTCTAGAGGCCAGGAATGCTGCTGGCCTATTCACCAGTTCATCCCCACATGGCACAAAGTAGGCACTCAATAATACATTTTTTTTTTAATTGATGAATTGGGCCCTCCATGCCAAGCCTGTCTGTAGTGATGAGCAGGGTGTGCTATTTGCCACAAGCAGAGCTTGGCTTCTGGGAGAGATGTGATGCAATCAGATAATCACAAGACACCATTAAAAGTACAGTAATCCAGTGTGAGCCAGATGCTTTAGGAGCCCAGGGAAAGAGTGCCAACATTTGCCTGGGTCTTTTGGGTATCCCATAGCCCCTGGTATTTGAGAGGAGAATGATGGATAGGTGTTGCCAGAGGAGAAGGGACAGTCTAGGCACAGTGCTGCGCATTTGAGGGTACGGGGGTTGTGGGTGCTGGCAAGAGGTGTCCATGTTGGCCCTAGGCACTGGCTCGGGCCCAGCTGCGAGGCCTATGGCGAGCTGATTCCCTGAGCTCTTTCTCTTGTCGTGGCTCATTCCACTATCCTGCTTGCATTCCCCCTGCCTGAAATATTCCTCTACCAGATACCCATCAGGTGGCTGAAATGCCACCTCTTCACAAGACCTTCCTTGGCAACCCAGTGTCAAATGGCACCCCTCCCTGCCCACACCCCCACTCCTTACCTGGTTTTATTCCCTCCAGATACTCATTGCCTACTCAATGTATGCAGATATCTGTGGGTGGGCTCCAAGGGGTCAGGGACTTCATTTTATGCTCTGATCCCTACACTGAGAGCAGAGCTTGGTGAGCCATTGAAGGCTTTCAGTAGCCTTGGCAGGACAGGGGGCAGAAAAGAAAATGTTTTCATTCCTTTCAATGCAGAAATTGTCTCCATTACCTGCCTTACTGACCCAGAGCAGTTTTGGTGATGGTGATAATCTCAAACAGTGTCATTAGCAAATCTTACTGTATTATAGTCTTGGCCACCTTTGAGGAGATAAGTGGCATGTATTTATTTATTTTTTATTTTTATTTTTTTTTTTTTTTTGAGACAGAGTCTCACTTTGTTGCCCAGGCTAGAGTGAGTGCCATGGCGTCAGCCTAGCTCACAGCAACCTCAAACTCCTGGCTCAAGCAATCCTCCTGCCTCAGCCTCCCAAGTAGCTGGGACTACAGGCATTCGCCACCATGCCCGGCTAATTTTTTGTATATATTAGTTGACCAATTAATTTCTTTCTATTTATAGTAGAGACAGGGTCTCGCTCTTGCTCAGGCTGGTTTTGAACTCCTGACCTCGAGCAATCCGCCCGCCTCGGCCTCCCAGAGAGCTAGGATTACAGGCGTGAGCCACCGCGCCCGGCCTGTGTGGCATGTATTTGTAAGTAAGGGTCCAGTGACAAAGTAAATGAAATTTGGCTCTGGTGTGGAACTTGTACATTGAGCCTGTTTCTGTTTATACATGTAATAGAAATCTAAAAATAGGCTTCCTTCTGCTATGCCGCCAGACATGCAACTGGCTGGAGGTGGCAGGAACAGCTACTTCCTCACATGTGTCCAGTCTAAGGTCATTCTGTGACCTTAGCAGGTTCCTGTCATCATAAGCAGGAAAGGGTGTCCTTGGTCTAATCCCACTCCATCCTGCCTCTTACTGGGTCCTTCCCAGCTCTGCAAGCAGCACAGGAAAGCAGGCATCCTGAATAGCCGCAGCTGGGTATCCTTGCCTTGGCCACCTTGATGCTCACACGCCACCTGGCTTGTTCATCTGTGGTCTCCTTACACAAGATGCCATTGTAACCTCAGGGCTTGTCTCATACTGCTGTGCCCTTGGGTTTTCCAGTAAACAGTGTTCTTGCTAGCACACAGCATGCTGGCATATAGTGGGAAAAGAGTAGAAAGAACAAATGGATTTGGAAGGAGGCAGACTTGTGTTCAAAGCTCCATGGTTTGACCAAGTTAATTTGACTCTCTGTGCCTGCCTTTTCTCATTTACTTTAAATATATATATACATATATATATACTATGTATGTATGTACATATGTGTATATATATACATTGTGTATATATATACAATGTATATATATATATCAAGCAGAACCTTGGACAGTAAAAAGAAATATATGTGTGTGTGTATATATATATATATATACACACACACACGGATAATGGTCCTGTATTTTCTCTTAGAATTACCATGAAGATTGAATGACGTGTGTATACAAAGCACCCTTTGGGAAGATGTATACGTTTTCAGTACCTAGCAACTCTGTTGCCTGGGCTAGAGTGCAGTGGCTCACAGCAACCTCAAACTCCTGGGCGATCCTCCTGCCTTAGCCTCCTAAGTAGCTGAGACTACAGCTGTGCACCACCACGCCCAGCTAATTTTCTATTTTTGGTAGAGATGGGGTCTTGCTCTTGCTCAGGCTGGTCTCAAACTCCTGAGCTCAAGTGATCCTCCTGGCTTGGCCTCCCAGAGTGCCAGGATTACAGGCTTGAGCCACAGCAACCGGCCTTCCCCTTCTTTTTTTCTTTTTTTTTTTTTTTTTTAGCTCATCTGTGAATTAGATTAGCCCAAGCCCCTTCTTAAAACTGATGTCTTTCTGGACTGTCAGCTGGCATGCGTATGTCATTTGGGCCTGAGAGTGGGGAGGACCAGTGACTTTAACAACTAGAAGACAAGAGTGGCCTGGAAGCCACAACCCTGTGGTCTCTGTCTGAGTGTTCATGAACAGTCAGGTGCCCAGGCCTCATCTTTCACCTTGAGCTCTGGGGATCTATAGTCTCACTGTTTTTCAAAGTGACGAAGCAGAGAACTGCAATTTCTGAGGTTAAATTTGGATTGGCCCAGCCTTATGCCCCCATAGCAAAGTCAGCGACTTCTCTCTCCTCGAGAGTGAGTTTAGAGGTTTCACTGGAGGAGCAATTCAAAAATAGAGGAGCAGTTTCTGGTATGTTCTGCTTCTGAGACAAGGCTGGAAGTCAACATGTGAAATCTAGAGTGTGCAGGGACCGACAGCTTCCGGATAGGCTTGCAGGGATGGGGAGGAAGCGAAAGCAGAATCTGGTGACTTGGATCGTGGCTGCAGATCTTCTGTTGAGTTCTTTGCCAGCCGACCCAAGGGCCTTGAGATCAGTGTAACTTTCACTGGGCCTAGGTGAGGTGACGGCCAGACACATTGTCCTCTAGTTTAGGAGGAAGCTATGTTTATATGAAGAAATTTCAACTTTTGGATAGAGTCATCTGAAGTTGAATTTTATCTTCTGCTTTGTCCATAAAACATTATTTAGGAAGCAAGAAATGGATAAAGGGAGACTCTAGAGAGTTTTCTTTATATGGCAAAGTGAAGACCTAATGGCAGTCAAAACACCCTAGTGCATGTTGAGTACCAAAGGGCATCATAAAACTTAACCAGCAGTCTCACCAGTGTCATGAAGAGCACAGACTGTGGCCGCTGCTCCTTAGTGAGTCCCCCACTGTGTGTGCCATGTCCTCACTGAGAAGGGAGCAGTTGCCCTTGTTGTCATATTTGGGATAATAATGAATTCTGCTGTTTTCCTTCTGGTCTGAAAATACACAAGGTGATGGAAAGTGGGTCTCTGGTCTCCAGTTAGATTTGGTAGCCAGGATATGCTGCCCATTATGTTCTGAAGTTACTTGTCAAAATGTACTCTGCCTTCCAGAATGATCCTTTGGGACTTTCTCATTAACCTCAGTTTGAAGAACATGGTTATCTTCATGTTAAAGAAATATTCAAGAGCATTTCTTCTGCTTTATGTTTAAGCACTAGTTGAGTTTAGGAATAAAGCCTGGCTGTGCCTGAATTACAATTTAGTAAAATATATACTATGTTTAGAAAAGAGGGTAAATTTTTAAAGAAACAACACAAGAGAGCACTCCAAATGTCAAGCTTACCTGGCCTGAATTTGCCTTATTTCAGTTGTGGATTTCAGTATCTAGCTACATAGTCTCTCAAAAGATGTTTCAGGTTTGTTCTCTGGGACCCCTAGTCCCTTCATTGAAGAGTTCCCTGGCTGAAAACCCACATGTTGACCTACAGGAGACCCACTGTGGTGTTGAGAGGGAGGAAAAGGCTCCACGGTGACCCCTCACACACAACTGACTCCAGCGTGGCTGGGTCATTTTGCCCTCATGGGCCTGTGCCTCACCTCAAAGATGAGATTTCTTCTCTTACAAGGAAGGCCCATGAATTAATAACTGAATCACCAGGGATGCTGAAAAGCACTGTCTAAATGCTGTGTATTGTTTTCAAGCTGTTACTCCTGGAGGGTGGCTAGGTTGGCATTGTTTTCAAGGTTAGAATCCAAATACCAACTTATCTATTCTCCAGCTGTTGTTTATCCTTCAGTTTCCTGAAATAGTCAAACGCAAGGTCTTATAAAAACAGGTTTGTGCTGCTATACGTTTTGGTGGTAATAATTAAGTGCACTACTGATTTAGCCTCTTGTTTACTGAAAGAGATGTAGGTAGAGACCTAGGCATGTTATACCCCTTAGAAGCCATTCCTTTAAATATTGTATTTCCATCAGCTCATCTCTCTCCCACTCCATCCCATTCATTGGAGACTTTACAATATCCTACCAAAGGGTTGTTCAGGGTCTCAGCTCCCTGAATGGTCCATTTCATTTCTCTCTCTTTTAAAAATTATAAAACTAGATAGCACATATATAGAGAATAAAATTCAAAAGATAGAAAAGATCTACAGTGAAAAAGTCCTACCTCTGCCTTTAAGCCACTTGGGGCTATTTGTGCTACCAATTTCGTGTCTATACTTTAAGGTCAATTTTACATGTCGCTGCATTCTGCCTCCACTACCATCTTTTTTAATACAGAAATGGGAGCATCTATATTATACATACTATTCTATGCCTTGTTAGAGTCATCTTAGCATATATTAAAGAAAGCTCAGTTACTAGCGGGGAGTACCGCTATAGGAGATGTTTCTAGAATTAATGTGAAGATGTGATCTAGTACATTCGGAGTAGCCTCAGAGGCCTGACTCTCTTAAGTGCTACACTTAAACACTTACACCCAGCTCTCTACCTCACCTCTCCAGTGGGTGTCCACGGGCCCTCTGTGTCAGCACTGCCCAGGTCAGCTCGAGATCTTCATGCCTGCCTCCCACCACCCAACACTCATCTCACCAGTGTCACTGTCGTCATTGATTGCACAAACCAGAACCCAAGTCATCACCCCGACTCCTTCCCACTCCCAAAGCTGAGCCACCACCACCTGCAAGTATGACTTCCTCCATTTCTCCCAAATCAACCAACTTTTCTTCATGTCCTCACCACTGCCCTTGTGTGGGCCTCTTTAGCCCCTCTATTTTGAGTTGTGCAGCTAATTTCTTTCTATTTTTAGTAGAGACAGGGTCTCGCTCTTGCTCAGGCTGGTCTCGAACTCCTGAGCTCAAACGATCCTCCCTCCTTGGCCTCCCAGAGTGCTAGGATTACAGGCATGAGCCACCACGCCCGGCATAGAATGATCTTTGAAAATCATAAGCCTGACTGTGTTACTTCCGTGCTTGACATCTTTGGTGGCTTCCTAGTGTTCTTAGAATAAGAGCAAACTGAAATCATACCCTCTTAGGCTCTGCATGGTGCAGCCTTGCAGGCCTCACCAGGCATGTTTTCACTGTCTGCAGTCCGGCTACAGGAACCAAACTCTCCCGGCTTTGTCTGCCAGAGTCTTCTCTTGCTGTTCCTCTATCTGGAGTGCCGATCTCTTTGCCACCCCATCTAGTTACTGTTACCTCATCTTTCAGATCTCGGGCTTCACTTCCTCAAGCTTTCACTGTTTCCCCAATCTAGGTCAGGCCCCCAGTCAAAGTTAACAACACCTTTTCCTCCATTATACTTTTACCAGTGTTGTAATACCATTTATGTCTGTGGTCATTGGATTAATGTTTCTTTTTTTTTTTTTTTTTTTTTTTTTTTGAGACAGTCTTCTTTGCCAGGGTATAGTGCTGTGGCGTCAGCCTAGCTCACAGCAACCTCAAACTCCTGGGCTCAAACAGTCCTTCTGCCTCACCCTCCCGAGTATCTGGGACTACAGGCATGCGCCACCATGCCCAGCTCATTTTTTCTATATATTTTTAGTTGGCCAATTGGTGTTTTTCTGTTTATAGTAGAGATGGGGTCTCACTCTTGCTCAGGCTGGTTTTGAACTCCTGACCTTGAATGATCTTCCCGCCTCAGCCTCCCAGAGTGCTAGGATTATAGGCATGAGCCACCACGCCTGGCCAATGTTTCTTTAAATTAATGTTACTGATTTGAGATAGTTTCTGGCACATAAGAAAGTATTTTATAAACTATGAAGGATCTTAGAATAAAAGGTGGTGATTTTTTTAAATTCCTATTTATAAACAAAGTTAAACTATAAAGGAAGACATCTGTGTTATGAGTGATTGTTAGCTTGAGTAAGTCTCCCAAGGAACCCCTGGTGAGCCTAATGTAGGCCATTCTTCAGTTCAGTAGCAGTATCTCCTACATGCCAGAATACTGGGCATCAGGACTGCAGATGTTACTAAGATCCAGACAGACCCTGCCCTCAAGTAGCTCATGGTGTTTTATTTTTAAAAACCCAAAATATACCTCCTGTGGTTTTTTTCAGGTGTCCTGTGGCATTTTAGAAAGCCTTATACAAACTGGGTGATAGGAGCAACACTTTCTTTTGATCAAAGGAGAGGAAATTTTCCTTGTGCTTTCTTCTAACAATTTCTAGCTCTTCTATTGAAAGATATCTTTAGAAATATCCCTGCTGAACAGGAGAAAGATTCTCTGAGAAAATTCAAGTCAAGTAAAGCTCATTTCACATTCTTTTTGTTGAACAGGAACTTTTATGGTATCTACTCACAAGGAGCTGTCTTTGTGTCTGGTCTTTATCCCCAGGAAACCTGTAGGAAGTGTCAGGGACTCTGGAAAGAACACAATGGCCTCACCTGTGAGGAGCTGGCTGAAAAAGATGACATCAAGTACCGCACCTCTATGTGAGTAACATGATTCCAAGGGGCTTATGGACTAATTCTCAATTCCTCCGTTAACCTGCTTTTGCCAAAGGGGCGGATTGTATTGTGGGAAGAAGAATGCGCCCAAGCCACCCCAGTCTAGAGCAATCTTGGGGAATTGACCTAACTCCTGAGCCTCTGTCTCCTCATCTCTGCAGCCTCATGGAGCTATTTCAGAGACAAATGTAAAATATGAAATGCCTGGCACATATGAATTCAATAAATGATGGCCCTTTTCTCCTTATTGTCTAAATAAATAAGCAAGTAACACATCTTAATTAGCTTAGACTGAACTAATGTCGCTTATGTCTGTGTTATAGGATACTGGTGGCCTGAGACATTAAGTAGAATTGCCAGCGTCCAGAATGCAAAATGATACATCTGTCATAATAATAACCATTACTTGTATAATACTCCCTGTGTGGCTGAGCACTTTACAAACATTAACTTATTAAAATGAATAGACTTAAGTAATACAGAAGTCAATTTTGTTCTCATATAACAGTCCAGCCTTGCCAAGCAGCTGATGGGGCAGGTCTGTCCCCTGAGGTCGTTCAGACATCCAGGTTCCCTGGTGTCACTCCAGCACTGTGAGGGTAGTGGTCTCATCTGCATGATTATAACTGGGTTGTGGCCATATTTATACTCCACCCTACAGGAAATGAAAAAGAGACAAGTTGCCAGGGTAGGCAGGTTTTCTCTGAGTGTAAATAATGCAGAAATTGTATATGTGTATCACTTCTACTCACACCCCATTGGTCTACACTGAGTTATGTGGGTACAACCTGGCTTCAAGGCAGATGTCATATATATATATATATAGCCTGTGGCTGGGTGACTTTATACCTTAAATGTGGAGGGTAAGGAAGGGGTTTTGTTACTCAGAAAATGAAGTGGGGAATGGCATTTTGGGACAGTTAGCAGTCTCCAAGTCTTCAACACAGCGAGGTACTATTATCCTGTTTTACAAATAAGGCCACTGAGGCCCAAGTAACTTGCCTGTGATCCTACAGGTAGTAAGTGGCATAGCAGGGACTTGAACCCAGGCACATGGCTTCCTGGCTATACTCTATACCACAACTTTGGTAGGCAGAATAATGGCTCCCAAAGATGTCTACATCCTAATCCCCAAAACTTGTGAGTATGTTACTTTATATGACAAAGGGACTTTCCAGATGTGATTAAGGTTAAGGGCCTTGAGGTGGGAAGGTTACCCAGATATCTTTTCAGAGACGACCCAGTCTAATCACATTAGTTCTTAAAACTACAGTCTTTCCCAGCTATGGTCAAATAGAGATGCAGTGATGGATGAACAAAGAGTCGGACAGGTGTGAGAAGGATGTGACCTCCCCTTCCTGGCTTTGAATATGGAGGAAGGGGCCATGAGCCAGGGAACGAGGCAGCCTCTGGAAGCTTGGAACAACACTCAACTGATGGCCACCAAGAAAATGTGGACCTCGACCTACAAACTCAAGGAACCGAAATTCTACCAACAACCCAGATGAGCAGCAGACAAGAATCTCTCCTAGGGCCTCCAGTAAGGAATGCAGCCCCATTGTCAAGCATTTGGACTGCCCCAGGACTCAATAGCAGGCCATAAGATGTTTCTTAGAGGGAGACTTGTTGGTTACTTTTCAAAGCAAGACTTCCATTCTGATTCTCCTGTGAGTTGGCTCCACTCAACATCTTGGTCAGCCATAGACACTTGGGCACCACTGGGTCCTGTTAAGCCTGACAGCCTTTTAGATCAGCAGTAAATGGATCCAAGCAGAACATCCAAATGTGATATATGTTGATTGTACAATCAAAAAAGCCTCCCAGATTCTGGGCTGCTTCTTCAGTGGTAGGGGATGCAAGACACAGCAACATGAGCCTAACTTTGGAAAGGATATCCTAATACACACCCCTGACCTCCAAACTACCAAGATGTCATGGAAATTACACTTTCCTGTATTTTCTAGGCACTCATGTAGCATACTAGTGCATCTAAAGTACCTACTGCTTCCTATTCACCAAGTTCTATCTGCTTGTCATTCAAATAGTAGACCAGCGTATTGTCCTATTGGATGACAAATGGTTGAGGTCCTCGCCAGCTGCTGGTGTTCTCTGCTTATTGGACAGAGAATAAAAGCATTCTCCAGATAAGTAGCTGCATTCCAGTAGCCAGGGGCTATGTTGATTTGCTCTGGTAAGAGATGACATCTGGAATACCACCTGATTAGGTTTACAGTACTGTTCTCCAAGACCCATTCTTCCAACATGCGAAACGGAGAAGTATAAAGAAGACATTTGGAGAGTGAGCCCTGAGCACCTCTGTATCTTGAAGTTTTGGATGGTGGTGCCAATCTCAAAGATGCCCATAGGAATCGGTTTTTGTTATTGTTATTGTTAGAGAGGGAGTTCCTCCAAGGGGTTCTGCTTACCTTTCCATTTCATATAACCAGAGAGCCAAAGAATCCTGCCAAGTTTCAGGGTACACACAGGGAATTGTAGGCATAATTGCCATGAGATGAAGCTCAATTTTGGCATCTTGAATGAAGTCTTAAGAAATCTTCACCTGTCAATGGTGAAAGCCATGACAACTTTTTCGTTTTACTTTTTCTAATGAAAATTTTCAAGCGTCCACAATAGACATAATAGTATATTGAATTCTTGACTATTTATCAACATTTTACCACACTTGCTTCATGTATCCTATCTTTCATTTTTTCTTGTTTTTAAACTGCTATAGTGTCTCAAACAGACCCAAATCTCTGACAGCATGTCATTTCACTCATTATCACTGTTAACAAAATTGACAATAAGTCTTCAATAATATCTTACCAACTTCACAGTTCTCCCAGTTGTCTCAAATTAGCTTTACATGTGTACTCCAGCTAGTTTGTTCGGATCAGGATGCAAACAATGTTCACTGATTGCATGTGATAATTGCATGAGATAATTCTGTCTCCTCTAACACACTTTTTGTTATGCCATTGACTTACCGAAAAAACAAGGACAGTCAACCTACAGAATATCTTCTGGAGTTGGCTGCTTTCTGATACTATAATTTAACTTGTTCTTCTATCCCATGTATTTCCTATAAACTGAAATTTAGATCTAAAGACTTGATTAGGTTCACATCCAAACTATTTTGGTGAGACTGTTTCACAGGTGGTGCTGTGCATGTCACATTGCATCACATCCAGAGCCATGTAGTGTCTGCTTGGCCTACTGTCAAACACTTGTAAGCAAATGAATGACATGGCATAAGTTACAGGGTTTTGATGGCTACATGGCAAGTAGCTTTTTTTTTTTTTTTTTTTTTGAGACAGAGTCTCACTTTGTTGCCCAGGCTAGAGTGAGTGCCGTGACGTCAGCCTGGCTCACAGCAAACTCAATCTCCGGGGCTCAGCGATCCTACTGCCTCAGCCTCCCGAGTAGCTGGGACTACAGGCATGCGCCACCATGCCCGGCTAATTTTTTGTATATATATTTTTAGTTGGTCAATTAATTTATTTCTATTTTTGGTAGAGACAGGGTCTCGCTCAGGCTGGTTTCGAACTCCTGACCTTGAGCAATCCGCCCGCCTCGGCCTCCCAAAGTGCTAGGATTACAGGCGTGAGCCACCACGCCTGGCCTGGCAAGTAGCTTTAAGGAAAGCAAGACTTGGATTAGGGAGAGCAGCCACTATGGCAGCCTGAGCCACTCCATTACAGGGCTCCAAACTAGGGTTGTGGTATTGTGGATGGAGAAGAGAGGCTGGATTTAAGAAATATATATATAGATGTATATGTATATGTATGTATATTTTTTATTAAGGGGTGGGAAGTTGTGAGGAGGGGGTGTTCAGTTGCCTTGGGGTGGGTTGGTTGATTTGTTTGTTTGTTTGTTTGTTTGTTTGTTTGTTTGTTTGTTTTTGAGGCAGAGTTGCCCGGGCTAGAGTTCCGTGGCATCAGCCTAGCTCACAGCAACCTCAAACTCCTGGGCTCAGGCAATCCTACTGCTTCAGCCTCCCGAGTAGCTGGGACTACAGGCATGTGCCACCATACCCCAGCTAATTTTTCGTATATATTCTTATTGGACAATTAATTTTTTTCTATTTTTAGTAGAGACGGGATCTCGCTCTTGTTCAGGCTGGTTTCAAACTCCTGTTCTTTAGTGTTCCTCCCACCTCGGCCTTCCAGAGTACTAGGAGGATCACAAGCATGAGCCATCATGCCCGGCCATTTTTCGTTTTTCGTGTTTTGGGGTTTTTTTGAGAGAGAGTTTCACTCTGCCGCCCTGGGTAAGAGTGCAGTGGTGCCATTATAGCTCACTGCAAGCAACCTCCAACTTCTGGACTCTAAGCAATCCTTCTGCTCAGCCTCCCTGATATCTGGGACTACCGGTGTGAGCTGCAACACCTGGCTGGAGGTTTTGTTTTTTGGGTTTTTTTTTTTTTTATTGTTTATTTTATTGTTGTTTGTTTTTTGGTTTTTTTTTTTTTTCCTTTGTTTTTGATGAGCCGGAGTCTCACTTTTCCTCAGGCTAGTCTCAAACTCCTGAGCTCAAGCAATCCTCCTGCCTCAGCCTCCCAGTGTGCTAGGATTACAGGCATGAGCCACCTTGCCCGGCCTTAAGAAATATTTAAGATGTAAAATCAGCAGGCTGCTTCATACGAAAAATAGGAGTAGAAGGAGTCAAGAAAGATTCTCAGGGTTTTAGCTTGGATGACTAAACTGCCCTCACTAACATAGTGGAAGGAAATGAAACTGGTTGACTTTAAATGCTTTCAGTGAAATCTACTTGGGAGGCTGTTCTAGCCTTGAGAAAATTAGAAATGACCTGGGTGAGTTGACTGAGTGCCCCTTCTTAGAGCCATCCTACAAAGATCGGGACAGGGGGATTTGTTTTTCTTTTTTTTTTTTCTTCTAGCACTAGCCATTAATCTAATAGAACAGAGACTTCAGTGACCACACACGACAAAGAATACAGTCTTTACAAAAAATAGCTTAGAAAAG